AATTTTGAAGAAACAGAAAAGCAGCAAAGAAAATAAAAATCGTCCATGTTCATACTACCCAGAAACACCCACTGGAAGGACAGTGCTTTTCTATTCCTATACCCACATAAATAGTAGCATTTTTGAAAATTAAGATTATAATTAGACATGCAACTTTGTAATGTGTTTTCAACTAACAATATCATGGACCTTTCCCAGTGCTTTTAAATTTTCTATAACATGATTTTAATGGCTATGTATATATAATAACAATTTGGATACTTACAATGTAGGAGTAGGTACTGTTTTAAGACTGTTTTATATACATTAGCTTATTATATCTCCAGAACAACAGTATGAAGTTATAATCTCCATTTTGTAAAGAAAGAAATTTTAAAACTTGCCCAAGGTCATAGCCTCATAAAGGATAGAGCCAAGATTCATGCATAGACAGCCTGACTCCAGAGCTTGTGCTCTTAACTGGTAACGCTGAACAGCCCCTCGGTACTCTAATTAATTTAAGTAAAACACTGTTTTAGACTTCCAGGTTGTTTCCAGTATAGTTTTTGGCTACTGGAAATAATACTCATGCATCTGTGGGTTGGCAGTTCAGGCTAGGCTCGACTAGGACACAACATGCTAGTTTCACATGGTGTTAGCTGGGCTCACTCATGTGTTTGGGGCCTTAGGTGGACTGGCTGGACCAGCAAGGATTATCTCTTCTCCGCATGTTCTCTTCATCCTCAAGGGGACTAGCTCAGGGTTGTTCATGTAGCACTGGTGTCCCAAGAAAACAACAGTGGAAGATGCAAGGCCTCTTGAAGTTTAGTCTCACAACTTGAACACCATCACATTTGTCACATTCCATGGGTCAAAGCAAGTCACAAGGCCAGCCCAGATTTCAGGGTATGGAGTAATAGATCCCACCTCTTGATGGAACAAGCTACAAAGTATTTGTGCCACTTACTAACCACTACACTCAGCATTTAGTGCCCATAAGGCTTCTGTGTTACTAGAATATATAAGTTGCTGAACTTTTGTAGCAAGAAATGGCCTGATATAAATAATCCTTCTGCCAACAGATGGGTGTGGGCCAGAGTGATAGTCACCTTAACTCTGAGGCCCAGCCTCACGCTCAGGAGCCAGTTTGTACACCTTCAAAGTGTGTGAAAAATGTAGCCTTTCTATGTGAATGTGATCCCTCACATGAAAGTTATAAACTTTTACAGTCTTCTTCACTGAAAAAGCAAGGGTTTCTGTAGAAAAGATGTGCTAAGGGTATCCTGATACAACTGTATAAAATAAATCTAAATATTCTGAGTGTAGTTTGGGTGAGTAAGTGGAACCTGTCAGAGGTATTGGGACTCTTACAAAGGATGTATCTGAGGAGTATGTTTTGGAAGAGGTGGCTGCACAGTGAAGATAAGAACCAAATGGAAGTGTAACCAGAGTGAAAATGGGGCTAATCTATTGAAAGGTTTTAAAAAAAAAAAAGAAGATGTAACTGCAAGATAAGTATGCTCATAAATAAAACTACATCACTTGAATATGTATATGAAAGGTGAAACAGAGGGAAGGTTGACTAGGGGGCTAGCTAAGTCCTGTGGAGGAACTGTTTGAATAATTGATATGCTGGTAAAAGATAATTGGAAAGGAAAAATGTCATTTAGGGTTACTCCAGCAAGCATAATTTAACTAATCAGCACATTTTATAATGATGGAAAGATTATGAGTATATTCACTTATTACTCAATTAAATGATAATTAGGTTGTAGCCACTCAGACATTACTCTCTGATATGCTATTGCTGATTTTTTTTAATCCAATTATATCTTTTGTTATGTTTATATATTGTTTTGGAGTTTAAGTATAGATGCAGGTCTTATATGGGATTTGTTCTCAGTTGGAGAACATGAGACATTCACTCTCACAAACGCAGGAATGGAATGGACTTATCTTTAAATATTTCATGAGTTAAGTTTATAATCATAATATAAAAAGTATAAATGATCACTTAGACTTATGTAGCATAGTAAATATTAGTGTTTTATATAATTTACATCATTTCACCTGACAAATCAGTAATTTATTGAGTGTTAATTCTGTCGCAGGTGTATCCAAGTATCTCCACTGGGCACAAGATGAATGTGTGATGTCATTATAAACGTTTTAATAGGATTTATTCAAATACCACACGACTCAGAAATCAATTCATTATTCTTACTGTTAATCAGGTTTGTCTGATGTTGTTCAGAAGGATTTATGACAGTTGGCATTATTCAGAAGGTTTTATGAAAAATAGCTATTTATTTTTATAATGTTATATTTTCTGATAGTCATTGTCTTTGTGATGTTTGGGGTATAACTTTATATACATTTAACATTGCATAAAGTAGTAAGTTAATTCTTAGGTTGACAAGAATGTCAGTAAAGCAGAAAGAGGTCTGTTGCATTAATTGGCATCCTGGGGTTTATGTTAGGTGATCAGGATCCTAATGTCTCTGAGATGGTGACATCAAATTTGAGTTCTGAATGGCCAGAAGAAGCCAACTCTGCAAAGAAGAAAACGAAACCACTAAAATTCAATTCACCAAAAGCCAGTTCTCTCAGAGAGTAATTTGCATATTGAAAGGAAGCCGGAAAATTAAAACATTGGTAGAATTCTGACAGATATCCCCCTCAGAAGATACACACCACTACCTCCACCACCACACTTTTTGAATTTCATTATTATGGTTACAAAACTGTTTGTGAAATAAGTTTCAATTATGTCCTAAGTATACACAATCTGTCCTCAATCCTGAGTATTAATGAGACGGAGGTGCCTTTCAAATCATAGCATCTTCTCTGTTTTAGCCTATGTCTCTTGAGCTTAAACCAAACAAAGCAGGTTGTTTGCAACAGAATCTTTATGGGAGGTGAGACAAAGATGTGTGGAATATGTAATTTTTAAAACCATAGCAGTATAATATTAAATATTATATTCTGAAAAAAAGGAAAAGCTTGTTTTCATAATACAGACTATAAGAAAGCTTGACTGAATCTTGGATGGTGTGTCTCTAAAGAGATAAAGTTATCAGAATTTTGGAGGCAAGCAGAATAGATTTTTACGCTTAGTAAAAGATGGCATGAGTTTCAAAACTGAGAAACATAGCCTGAAATGCTTCCCTAAAACTACCCTCCTGGCACTGTAAGAAATGTATCAAGAGCTCTAAGATTATGCAATTCTATTTTAGCAAATAATTCTAAGTGAATTATCAAGATAGGCACAGATTTATGTACAGAGATATTTCTCTTAGATTTATTTGTAATTGTGAAAATTTGGGACAAAAATCTATGTCCATAAAAGGGAAGTGAGTAAGTTATATACAACTATTCAACGAAATTCTATCTATTAAAAATTGTGTTTTGGAAAAATATTTAATGTCCTGGTGAAATTCTCAGAAGAAAATAAAATACAGAATGGTAATGAGTCAATATTTAAAGGGAAAAAACGCACTTTTTTTTTATATGCATAGAAAAAGTTGGAATCGGTACAACTACTTTGGAGAGCAGTTTGGCAGTGATTGTAAAGTTGAAAATGTGCATATTCTACAATCCAACATTAATATGACCGATATACTAATAAATAGTTGTATGATCACATGATAGAATACTGTTCAGTTGTTAAAAATTAATGAATTGGATCTATATATCTGCAATAGAGGTAGATCTATATATCTCACTGAAGACAGCTCTCAAAACAATGTTAAGTTTTAAAAAGCAAGTTGCAGAATGATCTATTTGTACGTAGCATTTATGTAAAATTTTAAAATACATATAACAATACCAGATACTGTTCATGTATACACATGTAGGGAATAAGCATATAAAAACAAGGCCTAGAAGAGCGTAGACCAGAATCATGATGGTGTTGCCTCTGAAGGGGAAAGGAGGGGAGTAGAACTGAAAAGAAATACGGGGTGGGGATGGAGGGGGTAATATTTGCTTCATCTGTAATGTTTTCTAAGTCTTTTATTTTTTAAAAAAGAAGCAAAAATGACCAAATGTTTACATTGTACATTTGGAATGGTGGTACATTGTTGTTTATTAGATTATGCTCTTATTGTGTGTGTGTGTGTACTTTTAAAACTCAAAACTGTGAAAGAAAATACATTAATGTTTACAGTGGTTATTATTCAGTAGTGAGATTACAGGTGAATTTTTATTTTCATCTTCAAACTTCGCTGTATTTTCCAAATTCATAAAGTGAATGTTTCAATCAGAACAATAATGCCATTTACAGATAAATAGATAATAACTGGATGGTTTCTGGATGTCTTCTTTATGAGGGACCCTTACATTTGAGCGGCTCTTACATTTGAGCTGCCTCTGAAAGGCTGAGATAGCAGAAAAAGGATGACCTGCAGGATAAAAGGAAACAGAGTGCTAGCTGCCTTTCACTGGTCATGGAAAACTGTCCATGTCCTGAGAAGAGCCCAGATTAGTTGAAGCTGGGGGTTCTCAAAATTAAGCATGTATCAGAATCACCTGGAAGCCTTGTTCTAACACAGATTGCCCCCAGAACTTCTGATTCAGAAAGTCTGGGGTGAGGCCTTGCATTTCTAACAAGTTCCCAGGTGTTAATGATGATGATGATGCTTGTCCCAGGATCATGCTTTGAGAACTGCTGGTCTAAGCAAAACCAGGCCAACTGATATTTGTATTTATGATTACTGAAATGTGAGGGAGACATTTGGCAGGAATCATTCCAATGTTATTATCTGGCCAGTCCACAAATTACTTAATGGAGAGAGCCAGCCAGTCTCAGGGAGGTTGGAGCCACATATAAGGGCAGACAGACAAGACAAGAAACTGGCATCAAAATGGTCGGAAAGCTCAAAAGTAGGGGAAGTGGGAACGGGTCCAGTCTAATGATCAGAAACCACCGAAGAGATTTCTTTTGGAAAAACAAGTTAATGAAAAGAGACTAAAAAAAAAAAAAAAATGAACAGGTTCAGTCATCAGGGTCGTTTGCTACTTGACAAAACCGGGAGTCCAGGATGGCACAAAGTTTGGATCTTTTCACATTGACCCTTCCTTGCTGCCTCCTGCTTTTCTCTCCTTGCTTCCTTTCCTCTTTCCTTTCTGTCCTTCCACACTGAGCAGCTCCTCAGTGCCAAACATTACACTGGGCTTTGGTTAAAGTAGTACCTTACCATCTTTGTACTCCCAGCACCTAGCATAGCACCCAGTACATAATAGATGCTCACTAACTGTTGAATGAAACATGATTAAACAACTGAACAGCAGGAGTCATCGTTAAAGATGTGGTGAATGGAAGACAGAAATAGGATGTTTTGTCTGAAATGGGTCATTCTGTGAGAAGTGTAGAGTGGAGTGGGCCCAGCAATGCAAATTACCAGCTTGAGACCTCCCTGGGGACTGTAACTCCTTGGCACTTTCCTTTATACTTCAAATTTTTCCCAATAAATTTTTGCTATTTTTTTCATTACCTGCCAGTGTTTCGCATACCCACTATTCCTGACCTTCAGTTAAATAAGTATATGGTATGTGCTTCATTACAATACCCTCAGCTTGTCTCAGAGATTAGTCTGTAAATAAGGCATATGTCTGAATACATGATAACCTTTACTATAAGGCAGTAGCCTCTGTCCCATTGAGAAGACCCAAAAGAGGAGATCAAAAGATTAAGTTTGAGGCCAACTTGAATGTGTAGACTTTTAGGAATATCTTAAGTAGTTATGTGTGTACTTATAATTTGTTGATTAAGATATACATGTATATTTGCAATCACATATTATCTAAAATAATTGATTCATTTCATTTAAATTTTATGGAACAGTTTTGATTCAGTACTTCCATATGAATCTTAATCGTCTAACACAGTTTTCCAGAGCATACCATCTTTACTTCTACCTAAGTTTTTCGAAATATAGCATTTTTTGAATCTGTAGGTGATACTGTCACTAGAAATTTTTATCACAAGTCACAAGTTCCACTCATCTAACACTAGAACTTTTTTAAAATTCATCCTTTAGTGCTGTTTCATGAGTCGCACAGTGTATCCACACACTATATATTAAATTGATCTTTAAAAAGCTTGTTTACAACAACAAATAACACTACCAACTGTGACAGCATATTCTTTACCAGGATTAAGTATGAAAATTCTTTTTAAAATTTATTTGCCATCTTTTTTTTTAATTTAACAGCTCCGTCATGATGACTTCTATAAGTATTCTACATTAACATCGATTACTGTTATTTCAAGCTAATATGCCTTCCCCAAGCTGCACCCTGTGACTCACTAAATTAAGAGAGCATCCCATAATATAAAGGATTTTGTAAAATCTTGACTACAAAGAAACTCCCACTTAATAACACTGAGAAAAAAACTGTCTTACATTTGGGAATGTACAGTGTTTATTTCCCTTTAATTTTTTCTTAAAAAGGTAGAAACCAGTTCTTCTTTAGGCCAGTACACTGTCTGGAAAAGAAAAGTGAACCATAGAGGTATGTAGAATTAGGGAGTGAAAAAAATGTAATTGGATAAGCACACAACTTTCCAGTTGTCAGGTCATGAGAGGTGATGGATGTGTTTTTATTGTGCGTTAGGATGAGGCTATGTGTGTGTGTGTGTGTGAAGACATAATTATGGCTCTGTATTTAGTAATTAAAAAATTACATGTGATGAAGAGTAAGCAAATTGGTTTAACTGGAGTCTAAGTGGATCAAGTTGGAAGAAGAAAAGTTGAATTTGGCACGTGATTTTGATGGCAGAGGACATCAGAGTGGTTTGGTACACTTAGCAGTTTATTCCATTTTAAAATTGTGCACCTTCTCAGTTTTTCAGCATTAAACATACAGTTTGCATATTTACGTATGTTTCAGGCTATATTATTGGAATTTTGAAGACATGAAAACATCAGATGAACCTACCTGCAACACCTTGGATTCAGATTGGAAGATAGAGAGAAAGTTTAAAGAATGTGGCCAATAAAGACGGGTAGTACCTGGAAATATTAACTGACTCGCACTGTAAAAATGAGACTGATTTCTAAACGAAAGAAGTTATTTTAGGCCACCATCAAAGTTCAAGACAAAATGTTGAAATAAAAACTTTACACTCCCCCTCTTTCCCACTTCAGGCAGGTACCAGCATTAATGAATTATGATTTTCCTTAATCAGAAGCACTCATTTTTACCCATGTAGACCACCTGTAAGAATTACATATTGGTTATTTAATGTAGATTAATAATGGAAAACTGATTTTTCACAATGGCAGATTTTAAGGACTTGGTTCCAAACTGAGCTGAAGCTTCCCAATGCATTTTGTACAGTCTGGGAAAAGCTGTGCTGCATTGGCCTGTTTTTGAAGGCCATCATGCCATGTAATATAAGGATATCATCTTATTGCTGATATCTTTGAAGAGTCCCAAGCAGACACAGAAAATGAATGGAGGCAAGGAGTGTGACGGAGGGGACAAGGATGGAGGTCTTCCAGCTATACAAGTTCCTGTGGGTTGGCAGCGTCGAGTGGATCAAAATGGAGTGCTTTATGTCAGGTGAGCTTTTGTTATTGCCTGTGTTACCTCCAAGGTTGCAGTCCCAAGATTGAGGTGGTAGAGTCTGTTCTATGAGCAAAATATCGTGACTGACAGCACTTTAAGCAAATTTGAATAAATGACCTCTGTGCTAGAAATACTGCAGTGTTTTTATTCTGTACTGTTTTGCAATGTAAATTGCCTTAGGTTACCAGAGAGAATTTTTATGCATTACTTGTGTTTATATAAGGTGTCATTCTGCTTATCTCTATAACAAGGATAAAGAGGAAAAACATGAAGATTTCTAAAAGACGCATATAAGCATCATTAGCGCATTCATAGGCGAATGTAAAATACTGGAAATAGACCCGATATCTCTTGACAGTATTATTCTGTTCTTCACAGTGCTTCGGCTGGCTATTCTGATAGAAGGTTGAGTTTTTATCTATAGGCAGTTTCAGTTATACTTCTTACTGCCTGATACTGCCTAAAAATAATTTCCTTATTTTTTCTGCACGGTTTTTAATCTATTCACTTGCATATAATGTTAAAAAAGAAAAAGTCATGATGGAAGTGGTTCTTCATCTCACAAGTAAAAATCATACAAATAAAATGCAAATGCCTGCTCTTTTCAATTTTGATGGCATGTATCTTGTGTAATATAAACTAAGCTGTTGGCAAGTAGTTATAGTCTTATTTATTACATAAGTGCTAAGTTCTATACTTTGTAGTTTTTCAGTAAGTATATGAAAGATTAGGCTATATATATCTTTCTTTGTGACATTAAGAAACAGAATTAGAACTTTTAAAAAGACATAAGTTTGCATCGTTAAATTAATACTATTACTTTCAATGTGATTATTTGTATCCCAGCTTCAGCGGAGTCCTGTAGTCCTCTATTCCTGCAATGATGTATTTATATGAATGAGGTATTTTCCATTATATAAACACAAACCATTTCATACCATAACAGCTCAGAAAGTCAGTTCAGATTCTATCCTGGTTTTGTTTTGTGCAAGGTGTTGCTTGAGGTAAATTTAATTACTAATTGAAATGGTTTTGTCACAGTTTTTTTGGTTGTTTCTGTAATGATGCAGTGGCTAAGCGTTTGGCTGCTAACCAAAAGGCTGGCAGTTCAAACCTACCAGTCAGTCCTTGGAAACCCTATGGGGCAGTTGTTCTCTGTCCTATAGGGTCTCTATGAGTCGGAATCGACTCAATAGCAAGGGTTTCTGTTTTTGTTTTAATTAATTGAGGTAAAGGAATAAGAAAGCAGGGAATGTGGAGCTCATCTCATATCGTAGTAGCCTGTTAGATAAGATGGACAAGGACACAACAAGATGACTTTTTCAAGATGTTCTTGTTGCCAATACTGTTAACAAATTGCCAGAGTACTTTGTTAGAAATATAATGTAGAAAGATATCAATGTTACACGTTTATATTTATTGTTATTCCCGTTGTAAAGAGCAGAGTGTATTCAGCTTATGGCAAATGACTGACTCTTAAATCTTGATAGTTTAATTTTTTCACTTTTAATATCATCCCAATGAAGGATAAATCAGCTTTTCAGATTGCTAAGAGCAAAAACTGAGTTAATTCTGGAATCTGTTCAGTTATCTTGTTTATGATTTTCCAAGTCTGACTAGACTTCACTGTCGGATAACCCTGTTAGTGTGAGTTCTCCACGTCCAAATCTGTACACTGTAAATTATTTTGGAAACTAACTTTCCCTGATAAGGTAAAACACTTTCAAATTAAATTAAGCCAGCCAGCATGAGTTTGATTTGTTTGTGTATAACTGGCTAAATTGCCATCTGAACTTGTGTAGGAGGCTAGTCTTCTATAGCTCCCTTCTCAATGTGCAGTGTGCTTGTAATTTTTAAGTTAGTCTCCAGCTGCTCCTGCCTTGGGGTGGCATTGAGGCTACACATTACATCTCCCACCTGCTTCCACTCTTCTGAGCTTTGTGCTGAAAGACTTGTGACTATATTTTACATTAATTATTACTCTCAAAAGTTAATTAAAGAGCTACAACTGAAGGAAAGAACCCAACTGACTGACTGAGATGAAGTGTTTTTAAAATGTCTAGAACACAATACTCTAATAGAATTCAGGAATTCTCATCTTCAGTTTAATTTTATACTTAAATTCCTCTAGGACTCAGTCCTACACTTTTAGCTATAAAATGTTGGGCTGCTTCTTTTCACAAAACTCATGAATTCTTCACATGAAAAATCATGAAGATGCTGTTTGCTAACAAAACTTCCAAAAGCATCTTGTTGCCCTTCTTTCCAGTGATGGAACTCAAGTCTATAATATAGGGAATTATTATTCTTTTTTTCTATACAAAAATTTATACATACATTGTTATGTGACCCTAATTGCTCTCCCCATACTGTGACAGTGCACTCCCCCTTTCCACCCCTGATTCCCCACGTCCATTCAACCAGCCCCTAACCCTCTCCACCTTCCCATCTCACCTCTGGACAAGAAGCTGCCCATTTAGTCTCTTGTATCTACTTGAGGTAAGAGGCACACTCCCCAAGAATACCACTTTATGTCCCACAGTCCAGTCCAATCCTTGTCTGAAGAGTTGGCCTTGGAAATTGTTTTAGTTCTGGGCTGATAGAGAATCCAGGGGCCATGCTTTCCGGGGTTCCTCCAGTCTCAGTCAGACCATTAAGTCTGGTCTTCTTACTAGAATTTGAGTTCTGCACCCCACCTTTCTCCTGCTCCATCCAGGACTCTCTGTTGTGTTCCTTGTCAGGGTGGTCATTGATGGTAGCTGGGCACCATCTAGTTCTTCTGGTCTTAGGCTGATGAAGTCTATGGTTTCTGTGGCCCTTTCTGTCTCTTGATCTAATACTTTCCTTGTGTCTTTGGTGCTCTTCATTCTCCTTTACTCCAGGTGGTTGGGACCAATTGATGCATCTTAGATGGCCGCTTGCAAGCTTTTAAGACCCCAGATGCCACTCACCAAAGTAGGATGAAGAACATTTTCTTCATCAGTTTTGTTATGCCAGTTGACCTAGATGTCCCCTGAAAGCATGGTCCCCAGAGCCCTACCCCTGCTACTCTGTCCCTCAGAGTGTTTGATTGTATTCAGGAAACTTCTTAGCTTTGGTTTAGTCCAGGTGTGCTGACTTCTGTAGTGTGTGCTGTCCTTCCCTTCACCTAAGATAATTCTTATCTACTATCTAATTAGTAAATAACCCTCACCCTCCCTCCCCACCCTCGTAACCATCAAAGAAGGTTGTCTTCTGTGTTTAAACCTTTTCTTGAGTTCTTATAATAGTGGTCTTATATAATATTTGTCCTTCTGTAACTGACTAAATTCACTCAGCATAATGACCTCCAGATTCCTCCATGTTATGTTTCACAGCTTCATCATTGTTCTTTATTGTTGCGTAGTATTCCATTGCGGGGATATACCATAATTTGTTTATCCATTCGTCCATTGATGGGCACCTAGGTTGTTTCCATCTTTTTGCTATTGTGAACAGTGCTGCAATGAACATGAGTGTGCATATATCTATTCGTGTGATGGCTCTTATTTCTCTAGGATATATTCCAAGGAGCAGGATAGCTGGATTGTATGGTACTTCTATTTCTAGCTTTTTAAGGAAGCGCCAAATTGATTTCCAAAGTGGTTGTACCGTTTTACCTTCCCACCAACAGTGTATAAGTGGTCCAGTCTCTCCACAACCTCTCCAGCGTTTATTATTTTGTGTTTTTTGGATTAATGCTAGCCTTATTGGGGTGAAATGATATCTCATTGTAGTTTTGATCTGCATTTCTCTAATGGCTAATGAGCATGAGCATTTCTTCACGTGTCTGTTAGCCACCTGAATATCTTTGGCAGAGTGTCTGTTGATATCCTTTGCCCATCTTTTAATTGGGTTATTTGTCTTTTTGTTGTTGAGGTTTTTCAGCATCTTGTAAATTTTAGAGATTAGACGCAGATCGGATTTGTCGTAACCAAAAGTCTTTTCCCAGTCTGTAGGTTGTCGTTTTACTCTTTTGGTGAAGTCTTTTGATGAGCATAAGTGTTTGATTTTTACGAGCTCCCATTTATCTGGTCTCTTTTCTGGTGCTTGTGCATTGTTACTTATGGTTCATATTGTTTTTATGCCATGTATTAGGGCTCCTAGCGTTGTCCCTGTTTTTTCTTCCATGATCTTTATAGTTTTTGATTTTATATTTAAATCTTTGATCCATTTTTAGTTAGTTTTTGTGCATGGTGTGAGGTATGGGTCTTGTTTCAGTTTTTTGCAGATGGATATCCAGTTATGGCAGTACCAGTTGTTAAAGAGACTGTTTTTTCCCCAATTAAAAGACTTTGGGCCTTTGTCAAATATCAGCTGCTCATAGGTGGATGAATTTATGTTTGGATTCTCAATTCTGTTCCATTGATCTATGTATCTGTTGTTGTACCAGTACCAGGCTGTTTTGACTACCGTGGCAGTATAATTGGTTCTAAAATCAGGGAGTGTGAGGCCTCCCACTTTGTTCTTCTTCGTGAGTAATGCTTTACTTATTTGGGGCCTCTTCCCTTTCCATATGAAGTTGGTGATTTGTTTCTCCATCTCATTAAAAAATGCTGGTGGAATTTGGATTGGGATTGCATTGCATCTGTAGAT